TTCTTCTCCCTATTTTGATTCTTAAATTTTTAGAATTGGAATTAATTGAGAGCCCATTTATAGAACTTAGTTGCTTTGCTTTTCCAATACTCAGTCTTTTAGATTTAAAAAGGTATAAAAAATGGTGGGAAAAAAAAAAGTTCAACAGGGTCAACGCACGAGTTGACCTATGAGCTATTTCAACCTAACTCAGCCGACCTGTTTGCTAGCCCTACTTGAAATGGCTGAGTATCATCCACTTGAAAAACTTAGAGATCATGTGGCACAATAAACTATATCCTAATTTCTTTTGCAGACTAAAATCACTAACAGTTAAAAATTATGCAAACTATATATTTAATTTTCTTAATTATATATGACAAATATTATATATACACAATGGGATTGTTGGAACTATATTATATTGCTTAGGAGTAATAACCAGTCTGTATAAATATTACACTACCTATGATTATTAGGTTTTTTTTTTTTTTTTGAAAAAATTAGGTATATCTCAATCTATGCCTTTGCCATATAGGTATTATATAGGTATTATTACTAGTATATTAATTCTAAAGGTGTAATGTAAAACTTTAAATATAAAAATTATTTATTATTAACTATTATGCATAACAGGTGCGTCTCTTTGCTTGTCTGAAAATTTTTCACTTAAAAGTAAAATTACTCAATTTAAGAAAATTAGTTAATTGGACAATGCCTAACTATTCCAAACAAAGTCTATTGCCGTTCTTCCTTCTGAATGTCTATGTCTGTCATTTCTCATGCTTTTGCTTTGGGACTATTATTACATTGTTTCTTTGGATTAATAAGAAATTCTTCACAAAAAAATTCTTTTAATGATGAGGTATTTTAGTTTGGAGTTTTTAATTTTGTTTTTAATTAGGTAATTCTGGCACAACTTACTTCAAAAAATTTATTCTTTTGTCTCGTTTTAATAGTTGTTTGGTTTTAAATTCATGAATTTTTTTATCAGGAAAAGCAAAATTTTTCGTTTATTATACTTTTAATCCTTTATAGAATTACTTATAAACAGCACTCTCACTTGGCATCCAAATCTCAAATTATATCTCACCGCACACACAGACTTCTAGTGGCACCTATTAATTTAAGGCATGCCAAAACCAATACACACTCAAAATAGGTAGGAATGGTGCCCGTTACCTTCGCTTGGTTCCTTCACATTGGTTTTCTGATGCAATTTCTACTTTTGTTTATCTTCTAACCTCTTCTTTTGGTCATTCCCAAAGGATAAATAGCAGGATTGAGACACCAATCTGTATAAGAGACCACACAACCATCCACCTTAATTGCCTGTTGTCCACATAAATGATCTCCTTTAATTTTGAATCAATTAAAGAGCCATATAAGCATATCCATCCTTCCCTTTAAATAACCTTTTGTTCTTGCATATCCATCAGCCACATAGTCCAAGCGTTAACGAAAAACAATAATGATCAAACTTCCCTCTCGGTTCTACCTACCACCCCAAAGTTGTGTTGATCATATGACTGTAATCCCTAGAAATAAGGAGTTAAAGACACCCCCACTTACAGCTCCAACTATGATTAAGAAGTACATGGCTTAACTCCTCCATTCTACAATTTTTAACACCATTTGACCATCCTTTTTTTTTAACCATCCTTTTTCTTATCCATCAACAAAATGATAAGCTTTTCTTACAAAATGAATTGTATGCAGGTTGTGTTACCAAGCCTAGAGGAGCTGCAATTATGCTGGATGAATGTTAACATCAAATGGCTCACTTCAATAACATCTTTTTGTGTCAAGAAATTGAAGAAATTGATCATTCAAGGCTTTGATAATTTGGAATTTTTGTTCTCATCTTGTGTGGCTAGAGGTCTGGTGATGCTTGAACAACTTGAAATAGGGGAATGCAAGAGGATGAGAGAGATTATTGTCACAGAGAATGCAGAAGAAAAAGAGAATTTGATTTTTCCCCAATTGAACCGCCTATCGATAGAAGACCTTCAAAACCTTGTTGCATTCTACTTAGGAAATTGTATTGTTGAATTCCCATCATTGGAGGATTTGAAAGTACTGAATTGTCCTGAATTGAAGGGATTCACAGTTAAATATTCTGAAAGCACAAGTTACATAGTTGACATGCAGACACTCTTCAATGAACAGGTAATATGTTCCTCATTTCACTTTCATCTTGGCTTTAATTTTAGGGACAAATAATTGTCCTTACCCTTTCACTGTCAATGGCATGATGCATTCATTTATTATGTAGGCTGCATTTCCCAACTTGGAAAGGTTGACTATCACCCACTTGAAAAACTTGGAGATCATATGGCACAACAAACTATATGCAAATTCCTTTTGCAGGCTAAGATCATTAAAAGTTGAAAATTGTGAAAAGCTATCAACTGTTTTTCCTTGTACTGATATATTGGGAAAAGTCTTGAAATCCCTAGAGGTGTTATCTATATATCGGTGTGGCTCACTCGAAGGGATATTTGAAATTGCCGAGTTCAATGTCAAACAAACACATGCTGTAATTGACACCAAGTTCAAAGAATTGAATATTGAAGGCCTACCAAGATTGAAGCATGTGTGGAATAAGGATCCCCAAGGAACACACACTTTTCACGACCTGGAATCAATCAAGGTAAGCTATTGTGGGAGTCTTAAAAATTTGTTTCCAGCTTCAATAGGCAAAAACCTTTTGCAACTCCAAAAGCTACATTTATACTGGTGCGGGGTGGAGCAAATTGTCACAATGGGAGAACAAGAAGCTGGAGGAATTGTTAGCTTTGAATTTCCTCAAGTAACAAGTCTTAAGCTTGAGGTGCTACCAAGACTCCAATGTTTCTACCCAGGAAAGCACACGACAATGTGGAAAATGTTAAAAGAGTTCTATTTTTCCCATTTCAATCTAGTAAAGGGAGCAGATGGGCATGGACAACTTGACTTCCCTGTACGACTACCACTTTTCTCTACAAAAAAGGTACAATTCGTATCATAACTTTCCATTGTGAAATTAGAACCCCTCTCCAAAATAAAATAATAAAAGAACACCTTATTACAACTATATATCATGTAACAAGTCATTAATTTTTAATAATCACCATACATGGATAATAATATCATATTGGAAAGATGCAATAACTTGCTTTAGTGAGACTTGAGTGGTTTTTTGAACGAAATATTGTTAGCGAGACTGCTTGAAAATGGTTCTTAGTATTCTTTTAACTTTGTCATTATTGTTTTGAATCTCTGTGTTAAATAAATTTGCTTGTGTTCATTTAAGAAAAACATTAAAAACTCTTTTATTATGGCTATCAAATCACTGTAAAGAAAATCTTGATTTGTAGGCTAAGAAAAACAAGCTACTTAGTGATCATGAAGGGAGAAAGTGCTGGCTTTAGATTTTGAATTCTGTAGAGAAAACTAATTACTATCACTGTTAGAAAATTTGGTTAAAAATAAGAACTCATATCACTTGAATGCATAATCTGATCTAGTATAAAAGTGTATTAAATGTTAAGCTTTAGAAGCCAGGAATGGTAAGCAAGAGGTATTAAGTTTAGAGATAGTCTCTTATAAGTGAAAGGCATATTATTTTAAAGTCAAATCATTTATACATGTATTTAGCGGGAAGTCCATTTCAAAATATATTTACAAAGTGTAATGATTGGTTTAACTAAAGAACTCTCATCTGATTATACCCAGGATTGGAACAAACTTAAAAAAATTTGAGCCATATGCAATGTCGGGAAAATCAAATTTACCTTCGCATAAACCATAAGAAATTTCTAGACTTCCAAAAACGCTAGCTGTACTCAGTTAACCTAAAATGGCTAGAGAAACAAACATGAGCTCTGAAGTTCAATAAGCATAAGTTATAAACTAAAGCTGTAAGTGAGCTTTGAGTCAAATTAACAAGAACAATCAAATAATCCATGTTAAAACTTCTAACCAGAATCCAAAAAAGATAGATTATGAAGGTGGCGGGCATAGCTTAGCCATATAGATCAAATCTCTTAGATAGGTTCTTCATAAATTTAACACTAAATCGTTAACTTCAAACATATATAATAAATAAAATCAGATTACCAAACAATTTAGAGAAACAAACAATCACAGAGTCTATGAGTCCACTTAACAATCTGTG